GCTCCTGAAAGACTGTAGTCCTAATGAATGGCCCCTGCCTGAGTCCTCACCTTTCTTTTCACTCTGTCGTAGAAGTTCACTCCACCAACACAGCTGGCAAAAACTCTATTCAATTCTTTGAAGTTTAATGGGTCACTGTTTTGGAAATGCCATTTAGAGAACCTCTCAGTTTTTGGAACTGTGGAGGCTTGGAGGCTCTTGCATGTGTGGAAAGAAAATAGTTGGTCAGTGTCATTGCCATTCCATTTTTTTGCTCTTTTGTCAGGAAACTTGCCATCATCATACTCTACATGCAAGCGAATTGAGTATGTTGTCAGGAAAAGAATGAAGATGAGAAAGGAGTCCTGCCAGCGGGAATTTCTCAGCACCAATTTCCTGTATAAGCCTTTTTTATAAATAGAGCCTTGTTTCACACGGTGATATAATATTAATCTGTCACCATATTTGGCACAACCATAGCATCATGAACCACTTGCTTGCTAATTACCATTTGAGCTCATGCACAGAGCACAGACTGTGACAATATCATCTTGGTCAGAGTCACAGGTCTGTCAGTGCCAGCAACAATTCAGTGTCTATTTCCAATCTCTGAAAGTGTCATATCTGCATCCTTTCGTCCCAGGAGGAAAAATCCTGGACTTCCTTTCTTAGTATGAATAATTTGTTTTGTCACTCAGAGCCCTGAAGGAAAACCATGTGACAGTTTCTGTTAGCTCTTCATATGAGAAAAAAGTTTTTAAGAAGAGAAGTAAATGTATATCAGGCATGTTTAACTACTATTTATTAAGTAATTTTTTAAAGCTTCGAAAGCTTCACTAGTCTGCAATACGTAGGAGAAACAATATGTTACACCATATCTTGTAAGAAAATTAGAAGAAGGACTGGAGGAAGCCCACAGCCATCGTTATAAAGGGACTATTCCTGCCAGGAGATTGCTCAGGCAACCAAAGGAAAATTATGTGGATATGATTATTCTAAGTTTTACAGTTGCCCAAATAGTTCTGAATGGTGTCAGGGATACTAATCAGTTGCTTATCAGTTTCCCCCTGCTCTCATGAAAACTCTTGATTAGCCTACAGAGGTCTTATGCCAGGCTGTCTGTAGGCTCAGGAACATGGTGCTAATCTGATGTATTCAGCTCACACGCAGAAGACTGCCTTCAACCAGTATAGCTTTAACTTTTTCCTTACTTGAATCCAAAAGTCTGTAGGAACTGATGATTTAAGTATTTTCATTCAGTAAGTAAGCTTTTCAAATCCAAAAGTTTCTGAATTTATTAGAACTGGAGAGTAGTAAAACAGTAGTAACCTTTGTTATATTTCCATTTCAGTCACATTGCCATTAGAGACAGTGGAAGTTTACACAAAGATATGGGACCCATGTCTGTGTTATAAAATCGTCTCTTAGCAGTTTCAATGGAATTGCATAAAATGGTTTCAATTTTTCAAATTTGTATAAAACTGAAAGTAATTTCCTTCTAGAGAAAAATCTCCTAATCTTCTTTAGAAGGATTAAAATGTAAAAATTTCTAGCAATGCAAAATAGATCTGTAGGTGGATTTTATACCTCTCTTTTCAGTCTTGTATCTGATAAATGAATCATTACTTGTTTCATATTATTGAGCAAGTCTGTATTCTTAAAGGCATTCAGTGCAAAATATTCCATCAGCAAGTGAAGACTCGAGGTTGACTGGTCTTACTTCTGTTAACCTTTACAGGTAAGATATGATTCCTGCATCTGAAGGTGGTGGAAAGCATCTAAACTGTATAGGCAAAGGAGATAAAAATAATAATAATAATACCACCTTTTTGATGTCTGCCTTTATGTAAAGGGATCTAGTCCAGCCACAGTTTACCTGTGTGTCTTATTACCAAGAAAAGTCCAACTGCAATCAACAGAATTACTCTAGAAAGTTAAGCAAGAATATCAAAGCATGCAGGAACAAAATTCAGGAATGAGCTAATTGGAAATCTGAGGAACACAGCTGGGAAGCTATGCACTGAGTTCCTGAGATAAGGGCCTGTATTTTTAATTACCTAGGTAGAAAAGAACAAAGTTAAATTATTTTTGGGAAGTACTAAGAACATGTGTCTCATGTACTATGTAATAAAAAACCACAGAGATGATAGTATTTGCTAATTATTCTTGCACAATTAGCAGAAAAATCCCACATCTATTGATCGTTAACTGAGCATTAAGCTTCCTCTCATTCTGAGGATGACTGATAAAAGTAAACTGGCTTTGGTAGTTGCTGTTATATAGTAAACCAAGCCTTTGTCAACAGTTACCCCCGGTAAATGTGGACATTTTCACAAATATCAGAAGTATGCAGATTTGCTGCATCATTTCAATGAAGTCCTTTGCCACTGTGAGGGCAATGCTTATGTGTTGACTGCAAGAAATAATCTTTCTGGAAATGTGTGTAATCAGCTCAAGAAAGAAAATTATTGTTAAAATCTTCGGAAGATCTTATGAAATTGTGCAAACGAATTAAGTCAGGCAGTAGGCAACTTAGAATTTATCCAACCTGCACATTCTGAGTAAAAAGTCCTTATCTAATTGTCCTTGTTTCTAAGCCTAATTGTCCTTGAAAGTATTATAAGCTGTTATATTTTCACACAAATGAACTGCTTAGGAACAATTTGTCAAATGCATTAGGTGCAGCTTTTATTCTACATCAGATGCTTTCTGCAGACATGCTATCAAGGCTTTGTCTACAGCAATTGTGTAGCTGTCAAAAGGAAAATACCATTCCTGAGCTCTGTTTTCAAATCTCTCTTCCAGTACTTCATCATATTGATTCAGTGCAGGTGTGTTTTTTGTTTGTGAGCATTAGAACTATGTCAAATAACAGTCCTTGTGCTTGTCCAGAAAAGAACTTTCTGCAATTCCCAAAGCAACAGCAGCTGTTGGTTGCACAAGCTACGCTGTGTATAAACTGTGTTTCCCAAACAGAGGTCTGGTTCAGCAACTGTTTAAAAGGCTGAAAGCCACACAGTGCATTCTTTTCAATTAACACATATACTTGCAATTTAGAGCACAGTGCACCAATATAATGTTAAGGCTTGTAAAACACCGTTTAGGATCCATTGTATCTCATCAGCCATACTAAGAAAGAGGGACTAATGCTGGAAAAATACTTGTTTAGAAAAGACAGTACAGAAAATTCCTGAAAGCACATGGATTTTCTGATTCTCTTGAATGCAATAAAAACTGAGGAATTAACCCATTCAACTCAATCTTTATTTTTAGATTTTTCTTATTTTACTTTATTTTTACATCCTGTTCTCCCTTAGTTAAGATGTCCCTATGCTGTTGCCCTGCCTAGTGCTGCACCATTTGCTTCGCTGAAGCCAACGAGTACATCAGCAGACCTTGGTCAAGGGCTGCAGTTAAGCATATCCGAACATTTTTCACATTGCTCTGATAGGAAATGTGCCATGAGTACCCTACTGCTCTATTCCCTGTTACCAATGTGCCACCACCTGCCAAAAATCAGCTCAGATTGGATGGGACCTCCAGGGACCACCTGGTCCATCTCCCCACTCACAGCAGGGCCAACCTGCATGGGGTTTCCCAGGGAGAGACATTGTCCAAAAGCAGCCAGCAAGATGCAAGTCGTGCCTTCGCTGCACTCCTTCAGCTGTGCCGGTGACAGTCCCTGCGGGCAGTGGGAAGCCAGGTCCTACGCAGAAGTACATTCAGTCCAGGCCCGTGAGATGATTGGCATATTGGCACATTTTTTCAGCCCATGGATTTTCTCAGCTAGTGACTCAGTGGAGAGAGACCATGTTGGTGAAGATTCAGCATGTGGGTTTTCTTTTTTGTGTGTGTTTCTGTAATGATGTATCACCATCTCAGGGCACATTTTATTCTCTCAGGGGCTAAAGCCCTGGTGCTGCATCCCTGTCATGGTACCTTCCACCACAAGGCACACACTCCAGTAGGAAGAGGGGCAAACAACTCCATATTTGGCTGCTCCCAGTGACCACAGGACATGTGTCTGAACAGCAAGTCCTGCTTCAGGTGGCAGAACACACTACTTTGGAAAAAACAAACTTGTCACATCATTTTGCCTGTTCCACAAGAGCCACATTGGCCCATGGCACTACCTACTGTCCCACAGTGGGGCAGGTTCCCCCGGAACCAAATGTCAAAGCAAATTTCTGCTGCTTAAAAATGAACCCTTTAGGATGAGCCTTTTAGGAGTCACCGAGGCTGATGGATGGTGATCCAAACACCCACCCTTTGCCTCTGTGCCCACCACAGTACAGCTGCCCCTACTCAGAGTGGCTGCTGGTTGATGTTGTCTACCTTTCCATGGGGGTAGAGGCTTTTCATTTTTCTTGGTGTTAAAAGGACCAGTGCTTTTTCATGTTTGAAATGGCATGTGGTGATTCCGCAGGTAAACCAGATCAGAAGTTGACAGCAATGTTGACAGCTTATTTTTCCTTGCAGAACAATGTCATTACTTGTGTTTTGAAGTACAAACCTTATGCATAAAACATATTTCAGTTAAAGGGGTACTGCCAACTGGCAAAAAAACCAAAACAACTTGCTGTTACCTATGTGTGTTACAAGCACTTAGATTACCAGAAATGATAGATAGTTTTTTTCCTCTATGTTTTTCTATTTGACAGTAATCCAGTGTGTGCTTTAAATATCCAAGTTATTAATCATTTCCCCCTTTCGTTTCCTGCAAGCCTTTCACATTACAATGAAAAAATCAGTCTCACCAGGAAAATGTGATTGCACTGGTACAACAACAGGGTTCAGGATGTAACTTTTTTTTAAGCAAGGTGCACAATTGGTGTTGTATCTTAGGTTTTTATATTAAATACTTAATCACAGCGTATAACTCTGTGACTTGTTTTTAAGTAACCTAGCTTTGAAGCTCAGGATGGAAAAGTGTGTTGCTTTAATGATAACTCTGTAGGTTCCCATCAAAACGAAAGTTTGGTCTCATTATCCCATTGTTCTCCTTTTCTTTTTTCTCCAAGCTGCCTGTCTCGTCCTGGGTTGTATGATTTTTCCTGATGGCTGGGATTCAGATGAGGTAAAACGGATGTGTGGTGAAAAGACAGACAAGTACACGCTGGGGGCTTGTTCAGTCCGCTGGGCATATATCCTGGCAATTATTGGAATCTTGGATGCCCTGATCCTCTCATTTCTGGCATTTGTGCTTGGCAACAGACAAGACAGCTTGCTAGCAGAGGAGCTCAAGTTGGAAAACAAAGGTAGGACTGCTTTAGAAACACTATTATTGGGTGGCTTTGAGGGCAATTGCTTAAAAACAATGATGAGTTTCATTTTTTTTTTTACTTAAAAATTGGCATGCTGGCTTGCTTCCTAAGTTGCTGGGAAAGAAGAAATGCAAGGGGCAAGAGGAAGTTTTGTTTTTCAGCCTCCAAAATCTAAGAAAGCTCAAAATTGCCATAATTGCTGCACTATGCATGACTTATCCTTAGTTTTTAGAGCTGTAGACGGGATGATTTTGTGTTACCCACTTGTACTTTATTTCATTACCATTTAAGTTTCACCATCTCCATCTTTTTCTGTGACCCATGAAAAATATGTTCATTTGATTGCTTTAAGATTTGACATTGTGATATGAATGGCTGTAATATGGCATTCCACAGTCAGCATAGTACACAGCAAGGGAGGAGTGTTGGCTTGGAAGGTTGGCAATAAGCTGTGAAATGGAGACCGCCTATACAGTGAGGCACCAGCGGACTAAGGATCAGAGCCAGGAATGAAGAAGAATCCACGTTCTTGTTTGGTTGTATTGCTCTGAGCTCATTAGTCAGCTCATAGGAATCTAGGATGCTGTAGTTACTGAATATTCATGCAATGGGTTGGGGATAAAACACATTTCTAGATGAAGAACATGAAACTGGCTCAGTGCAGTAGTTGATCACGCCATTGCAAGAGGAGAAATGCCGTTTGGCAAGTGTGTGCAACCCTGGCTGATTTCTGCAGCCCCTTCCCCTCGTGCTCCTCCAGCATCCACAGCTGTGTATCTGATGTGACAGACACCACAGAGGGCACATCCCTGCCTTGTCTTTTTAATGGGCCTGTTGTCCCTGGATCTGTCTAATACCCTCTGAACCTGCTGATACTGTCAACTTCTATAGCACCGCATGGCAGTGCGTTCCTGAAGCTCACTACTGACTGCTAAAGAAACACTTACTTTTATCCATTTCACATTGATCCCCTACTATTTTCATTGAGTGTCCTCTGGTGCAGGAATTCTGCATTCTGTTCATCCACCACCTTTGTAATTTTGTAGGTTGCTTCTAATAATAGCAAAGATATTAGGAGCCCTTCACCACTGGATTGGAAATCAAAAGCTGTTTGGCAGCCTGTGTTGTACAAAAATAGCTGGTCTCAGTCCTGCTCCAGAAGGACCATTGTCCATACATCTGAAAGCACCAGCACACTGACCCCAACTTGCTGAATTGCAGACAGTCAGCACACTCAGCTCAAAGATAAATGGACTTGAAGATTGGACTTCACATGTGATTCCAGACTTGGTTAGAGTCTACTAATGTAGTTCAAGGAAAGTGTATGTTTCTTGCAGTTGCATGTGTACATCTGTTCTGGAGGTAAACTGAAGGCATCAGTTTCAAGGACTGTGGTCCTTTTATGTAAGGATAATAGTCATCTGCATTTGAAAATTAAAATACTTATCAAAATAGTATTCACAGCTATGCCACAAGGGCTTTTGGCATCCGCACTGTGCTGATTTGTCTATACCATACAGAGCTTATGAACTCTACAACTACTTATATCAAAGAACCTCATGTGTTTTGGCACCTTATGAACAAAAAAACAGCTTCTGGACTCTCATCACCTCTCACATCACTGGCACAAGCTCCTGCCAAAACATTTGGTCCCTCAGCATGTCAGACAAAATCGTTCAGCAGCTTATTTTCCTTGGATTAAGCACAGAAATGTACCATACCACCAGCTTCAAAGCAAACCAGAACTCAACAAAAAGGGACCCACCCCACTTTGTCCTTCACAGTCAAGCGTAATGTCTGCCACTTTTTAAACTGTCTTTCAAACAAAAAGAAGAAAAGACAACTTGTCTTCTAAAACGGAGCTTCTGCTATGCAGCAGCAGGGCAAGTCTAAATCCTCCTGCAGCCCCCTGGCATTTCCCCACCTGTGTGTGTTGCTGCCAGCACAACCACAGCCCTAGAGGAGTCGCAGGAGAGCATGGCGGGGGCGTGGGTGTACACCACCACACCTGTCAGTGGTGGGGATGTGGCAGGTACTGGTACCAGCAGAGCACCAGCTCTCTGCTTTGCTTGCCAGAGATCAGTCCTTCTTCTGGCCTTTTGGATGCCAGGAAAGCCTGCCTGCTTCCTAGTGAACAAATATCCAACTGAAACAACAAGGCATGGGCACTTAATTCCCTTCAGTTTTCTCTGATCTCTGTACAAGATGGGCTGCAGCTGGCTGTCCCCCATGCTGTGCTGATGGAGTAGGGCTTTGGGCCATGCTCCCTGTAGACCAAGGAGGAGTTTCTGCCAAAAGGCTGCTCCAAAGCCAGCACTGGGATGTGTAGGTAGTACTCGTGCACTTTTGCAGCTAGAAGTTAGTTGACTGTGAATGCGGCCCACAGTGTTTAGGAAGAAGATTTGGGATTTGTGTGGCTAGGGTTGTGAGGCAGGTTTTGTAATCCTGGCAATCACTGTCTGCACACTGAGATGACCAGTTTGGGCCAGTGGTCTATGGTTAGAGAGGATGTTGATGACTAACACCATAACGATGAAGAGGCTGGTAGAAGATTAGGGCCAACACTTGTCCTGTACTGGCACCAAACAACCTTCTGTCTGTACTGCTGGCACACACTGCACATGGATGAAGGCCTTGACACCCCATAAACTGCATCCCCTTGGGTTAAGAGATACTGGAGAAATACTCACCAGCATTAGTCCACATTCAACATATCTGTGCCTCTCTTGGAAATGCTCAGGTTGCCAACACTGTACCCAAGAGGAACCTCCGCTCACTCTGTCAGCTCCTCCTTTGCTGCTGTGGCTTTTCCTCTTGCACATAGATATTATTATGCAGTAGCTCAGCAGAGAGGAAGAGACAGAAAATTAGTATAACAGTCACAACAGCATTTGTTTATGTGGAAAAACCTTCAAGAAGAAGAAATTATTAGGCAATGTTCAGACAGCTGGGCAGCTGTTTTCTTAATCAGGTAACAGTTCTGTCTGGAGGCTTCCATGCAGATCAGCATCCTCAGGCTCATTAACGAGCGTGGTGGCTGTGTGAGCACCTGTACAACACCACAGCTGTTTCTGAGCACTGCGTACGAGTAAACAGTTAAAGTATATGAAACACAACAGGATGGTAAAAGGGTGAGAGAATTACAGAAAAAGAGCAAGCTGTACTTCTCTGTAGACTTACCATGCTGAATTGTCCACCTGCTCTATGCTTTTGATGACTCCAGTTCTGTATATTTACACAGGTGAATGAATGCTCTAAGTGAGGAATTTTACTTATTCTTGGGAGAAGACGGCCCTTTTTTTGCCATACAAGAAAGCTTCCTTTTTCGCTACATGATAAAAATAGAGCTTGCTCATTTTTTATTTGCTTAGGTTTGAGAGTGAACTACCATGCAAGTTTCATGTCTGAGAAATATAAATGAAGTTTAGCAGACTTTCTTAAGGTTATAGTCTATTTGGTGCAGTTTCTGAATCATGCAAATTTTACACAATGATCTGTACCTTTTTCATTTTAAAAATTGCCTTTTGAGGAAAAAAAAGTGTTTCTAAAAAGAATTTCATCTAATGTTTATGCTATTAGCAAAAGGAGGTGAGAAAAGAGTATTACGTGGTTTTCTTTAATTTTTAGGAACTAATGGTAGTGACTTAAAGGCCTTTATGTTATTAAACTAATGGCATGCAGTGTGATAACAAAAATAGTCAGAATTCATCTTCGCTTTAAGCTTCATCAACACCATTTTGAGTGAGCCATCGGCATCAGGCATAAACCTTGATGTGTTGTGTAATGACATAATTTAACATTTTGAACTGTAATGTCTTAATGACATAAAATTAAAGTTCTGGCCAAAGGGTGAAGAGAACAAATGAGAAGTTTCCAGAAGAAATTGAGATTGTTAGGCAATTAGTTTTATGGTAGGAAGTGGTAATATGGTCTGCATTATGAGTGATAGATACAAAAGCATTCAGAAGAAACTATCCTGTTAAGTAATATCAGAGCAGGTGGATGATGCACATTGTGGACAGCTGTGGCTTTTCCAATGGATAGAACAGCTTCACAAGGTGCTTATGTCTAATGTTTGACTCATCTTTGGGGCCCATATGGGCCCAGATAAGCAATTTGCATTCGAGATTTCCAGAGTTACAAGTCTAAGGCTGAAATAAATAAGAAGACCAGGGAGCGGGAGATTTGAAGGATTCATCTACCTTGCAGTGCTCCCCTCTCATAGACTCAAACTACACCACACTGTTCCCAATAGCCACATTGCAGACAGCTCGCCACAGAGCTCAGTGCCTGGTGCCCAACACAGGACTTGCAGTTGGTCGCCACTGAGCTGCAGTCACTGCAGAATGAACACTTAAAGACAGAAGCTAATAGGAAGTTGTTTCTCGGTGAGAATGCAGTTTTCTGTAAAAGAAAAAAAACTAGTCTTGCATAGAGATTTGCACACCTTTGGCTAAAGAATTGTCTTCTGTAAACATGTTTGCTGCTGCGACAGAAAACCATTAGCAAAAGCCCTAGTGTCTGCAGCTGAGTGACAGGAGGCTAGCAGTGCACTTGTCCCATTAAGGGACTACATGGCAGAGTGTGCATCAGCTGTCATTCTTCAGAAGGAAAACTGCTCAGGTCACAACACATGTGCAAACTGCTGCAAAATTGCGAAGTCCTGCTTATCAGCATGTAGTTCTCATGGCAAACACAAACATTCAGGCTAGCTTGTTCAAAATGAGGTGAATAAACATATGAATATTGATACCTGATTTAAGTTTTCATATTTAGCTACAATGCATTAAAGAATTGCCAACAGCCCTGGTAGTAATAGAGAGTACAAATCCAGTCAGAACATGATGTATTCTCCTGTATTCCCATGTTCTCTATCCGATAGAATAATATAGTCTTTTTTTGTAAAGTTGTGTACCCCCTGACTCCTCCTGACACACAAAAAGTAAGTGTATGCAGTTTTTCGTTTCAGTCAGTATGTACTTTTCAAAAATAAAAAATACTTTCAAAAATAAAAAGCAGGATTTCTGTTACTGTCTTCCCTTTTTTTAGACTGATACTTCTCTTCATGTCCTCTCCCATCCTTCCTTTCCAGTTCAGCCATTTGCTGCTTTGGTGTGTGGCTCCATGTTCAAAGCATTTAAAGTGACTTTGAACTCAGAACCGGCTTGGCCACTTGAATTTCCATTTGAGAAGGGAATTGTGGTAGAAACTCATTGGGGAGTGATCTGTGATGGATTGCTATAGACAGCCCATCACAAGCACTCGCCAGGCTGCAGCTGGCCAGAGGACACTGGAACTATGTCAAAAGGTTTATGCTCCTGCCTCAAAGGAGAAGTATTTAGGTATCTGCTTTTCAAAGGCAAAATCAGGCTCTTCTTTGAAGCTCACAGCCATAGGTTCCAGGTTGGAAATTCCTGGCCATTTCTAGCTTCAAAGCATGACTCTCTGCCATGTCAGTCAATAACAAAGTCTTGTCACAGCTGTGAAGAGCTCACATGGGATTTTTTGGCTTCAACAGACAAATAGCTCATCTATCATAGCATCATTGCAATTAGGTCCAGTTGTTAATTTCTTTGTTTGATTATAACCTATTTTCATTCAGGTATCATGTCCACCATGAGCTACAAGGAGGTCTAAGTATAAGAACAGTAGGCAAGTAGTACGAGACATATTTCATATAGAAAGCTGCAACTAGACCCCAAACTAACAGATTTAATTTTTTATAAAGTGTTTTTCTCCAAAATTTCCTTCGTTAGATAATGACAACCATTTGCTTAGGATTTCAACTATATAAATAACATTTTGAAATAAGAGAACCTCTAAAGGTTAACATGCAATTTCATTGTGGTGGTATGAGAGGGAACTTCATCTCTCCAGATTGAAGATTCCTATAGCACTGCTGTAGGATCTATGCTCAAGGTATGAACTTTCATCCAAGGACTGTATGAACAATCATTGGATCAAAATCCAGGTCTTTCCTTTGCACTGCCTTAGTGTCATGCACTCTCTTGCCCAATGTGTGTTGCATTCTGTCACACAAAGCAGAAGAGCTGCAGCCTGAAGGATTTATGGGCCCCCTCCTCCACAGCTGTTTTGTGCAAGACACTGTTGTTGGAGGTGAGAGATGAAAGTCTGAGAACTTCCAACTTGAGGAAAGAACATCCTCAAACTAAGGCAGTCAGAAAAACGAAGTATTTTTGAGGTTTTAGTAGAAACTGAGGGGAAGAAACTGGGAGTGAGACCACAAGTAAAGGTTCTTCATACAGACTTAGAAGACACTTCCAGGTATTCCTTTTGAAATTATCTACTTTTGTGTTTACAGGCATTACGTGGATTTTTCTATTGGTATTAAGTGGCAGCAAGGCAAATGCCCTGGAGTGGTGTTTAGAATAGCTGAGTTTGATTCCTGGTTCTCTTACTGAGCTTGGATCTGTTATTTGATTTCTTTTTCTCTGTCTTAAATGGGGAGGAATGAGACTGACTCTGTTCAGCAATGTAAAGTGAATTAGAAAAGCTAAATAGTGGTGGAATTATTCTTAAAGTATGTATTTGGAGACTAAGCCTTGATAAAAGTATTTTATCAGGGAACTACTTTACCAGTGTGCTAAATGATGACACTCTTAAGGGGAGGCAAATGAGGCATCAAAACAAAAAGTCAAAAGCTGATTAAAATACCTTATTAAATAAAGGTCAATCTCACAGTAGTGCTGATTGATATATCAGCTGATCCAACAGTTCCTTTCCAGCTCTACTTTCTATAATAAGAAAGTAAAATTAGCCCTAAGCATATACATTAATTACTTAACTGTAGAAGTTGGAGACTGTGAATAAAGAAACCTAGTTCCCCACTGATTAAGGAAGGAAAAACATGGTGAACTGCTTTCTGTCTCATAGAAAGATAGGTCCCACTTGCTGTTACACTCTGTAAGGAGTCTCATACAATATAGCTTGGTTACAGAAATTATCATTCCATTTAACGACCTCATGATATTAGGGACCGAGTATGGGGACTTCAAGGCATACTGGAAGCAAAAAGCTAGGCAGCCTCAAAAAAGCACTTCTTAAACAGTCAAGACAAGTCCATACAAAGCCTGGACAGATCTGGAGATCTGTGGTGTTAAGTTGAAACAAAGCCTATAGCCTGTTACAAGCAATACCATATTGACTAAGGTAGAAAGTGACAAGTCTAACTGAGCCATCACTAGTAGTTGCATTAGAAATTGTCTTTTGAAGCTTGTACAAAAACTCAGAAATATTTTATAATACATAGATACATAAAAGGGAAGTAGCTGGCACATATTTCATTCTGAGTATGACTAGTAACACACAAGTTTATCATACCTTCTTCCCTGGTGATAGAAACCACATTTTTAGGAGGAACAGCAGAGAATGGGCGAGCTCATTACTCAGCTGTTCTTGCATGAACGTTTTTGGGCAAAATATTAATGTAGACTAAAAAATCAAGGAAGGTTTGTGCCATGAATCTGGACTGTGACTGGGAATAACTGATCTATGAGGTCTTTCCTGCTACCCAGTTCAGCTTGCCGTTTCAGAGAGATGCCTGGGCTGTCCGTGTGTTCACATCAGCCCCAATGTCTTGTCCTCACACACAGAGGAAGCCTGTAGAACTGAGCTGTAATTGTCCATTCTCGAAGCAAATTCCAGTAATTTTGTTGGAAATCTTTCTCAAGATTTAAAAAGTCATTAGTTTCATTATCTTATTTCCACTGTGATTTTGATTTGTCTCTTCTTCACCAGTTTCATAAAACCAGGATCATTTTCTATCTGCAAAAATAAAGAACATGGAAAAAAAGGCAGATAACCTCTCCCTTTGTTTGCATAGTATCAACAGAAACAAAATATATTGTAGCTTTAGAACAAAGAAGCTATGAAAAAAATCCAAATTAAAAGATGGCAATCAGCCCAGAGTTGTATTCAATGAGACATTTAAGTCAAACCTAATGAGATATTTGAGATGTCCGCCTCTTTCTGGTTTCTGTTATAGATAACATCCAAGACCACCTACTGCAGTGACAAGTAAAAGTTGACCTGTTTGGTCCTAGCAGTGCAGATTTTGTCTGTTTAGCCAGTGATTTCTATATTGCTTTATTCTGCAACCTTGAAACTGTTCATGTTATTTCTGGACCACTTCCAGAGTTGATCTGGACTTTCTGTTGAGTCCAGCATCTTCTCCTTAATGAGAAGCCTAGTGGATTCCAGTTTGTTGTTCCCACTGACCTCTCCCTGGATGCCTGGGAAGCCTGGCCCTGGGACAGGCCCAGGGTCGGCCACCCACGTATTTTAGTTCCTTGGCTCTGGAATGACCCTACCAGGGCCAAAGTTGTTGCAGCTGAAAGTTATGGTTCTGCTCTTGGCTGCCAAGATCTTTGTCTGTTGACTTTGATATGTTTGTACAGCTTTACTTGATACAATACCAGAAAACAGCAGTGGAGGAGGAAACAGAAATGTTATATTCATGGGTAATATTTCACACAAGATTACTGTAGGTGGGTACTAATTTCATTTGCTAGAAAGGAACAGAATAGATAAGTGAAATTGTAATCTGAAAACTTCTATCAAGGTTTTGCATATCTCTGTACCTGGAGGATTTTTTTTTTCTTAATTCATGTTTTTAAATGAAATAAGTGAATTTGCTTGTAGCACATGGTCCATGTTGTTCTGTTTAGTTTTTCAGGCATTCAGCATGCAAGCACTCGAGCTGTCAGAAATATTTTAATGCATCTACTTCAACAGCATTTACCATGAAATGTACTCTACAGACATGGTAAAACTGAAAATAGAGGTTTAGTTGCAATCTCATTTGACTAAATGTATTTACAACACCACAGCACATTTGATTTTACGAACTGCCTTCACCTTAGTTCTGTAAATCTAAAAATTTTCAGGATCATAGTGAGCTGACATAAGGACGTCACTGCACAAGTCATTCATCTCAAAATGCTCTTTCATCTCAAAGTACTTGTAGCCTTCTAAGTGGCCACATTTAACACAAAACAAGCCATTGCTCGGGTTCACATAGGCTATTTCCCTCAGTTCCTGCTAACTGATGTTCTCAACTGTCTCTCCTAATCACTGAGTGTATTGCTCCTGTCTGGCATGTGCATGATGAAACCAAAACTCAGTGCTCTTAGTGTAACTCTATGTCTGATAAGAAGCTGAAAGCATCAGGATGATCATTTAGACTACTCTCCAGTATCACACAGGCTGTAGGATGGCCTGAATCCTCTCCAGTTTCTCAGCACTGCGTACACTGAGGAAGGAGAGCTGGGCACTGTTTTGGGAGCAGTTCTGACTCTGCCGTACCCAGAAGTGTTACCACCCCTCTGCTCCTGCTCAGCGTTTTCTTTTCTGCAGCGGAGATGCTCATAGCCTCCTGTCTGCCAGCTCCTCTCCAGCTTGGGCTCAGCTGACTTTCCATGTGCTCTCTGTCAGTGTGTGGCTATGTTTCTTGCTCCGTGATGTATTGTTTTGCTTATAGAATCAGGCATTTGCTAACACACATGAAGACTTCTTTGATCCTCTTCATCACAGCAGTTGAGAGAGACAGAAAGTGGACATTGCCACTGGCTCCCAGCAGTCGGGAGAAAATCTGAATGTTGTAGGTCTTTCCTTCCTCTCTCTTCCAAGGGTTTCATAACCTCTCACTCCACATGGACAGTTCAGTCAATAAAGACAGATCTTTACAGTATTCATGCTCCTCATTGTCTGGAACAGCTGGAGACCCTGAATGCCCACTGTAGGGTCTAATAGATGGACAACAATCTTGAAATACTGAGTAAATTCACCAGTGTTGCTATCAGCAATGAAGCATAAAGAGAGAGAATTTCTTGCTTCCTGAATGCAGAAGTTTAGCTGTACTTTTTGCATTTCTACTCTAATAACATATGTGAATGATAAGTACACATTGGATAAGAATTGAGAAAAATATCAGTGTTATGTAAATGCCTGCTAAAATGGATGGATCTGGAATATGTGCAGAGTGCAACAGTTTAGTTGTTTGATGGTTACTTTAAAAAGAGCACATTCAAAAGCCAAATTAGATTGGCATAGCTAAAATAGACTCATTTTACACAAGATGTTTACTAGTACTCTTTTTATTTTTAAGTAGATTATTGAACCAAAATCTTCAAAGCTTTTCCACTGGGCATGTTGAACATAATTATGCAGTGGGGCTTTTTTTCATCCTGTGAAATCAGTAAGAATTTTAGAGGCTGGGAGTAAATTTAATCCATTAGAGCAATTCATACACTTTTTAAATGGTCGTGAATATTACTTATACTGATCCTTGAGCACAGAGTTTCAAACAACATTTTTCAGGTGTTTGATGTGTATCAAAATCTTTCATATTTCCTTTGAAGAAATACCATAACACTTTGACAATAACAACTGACTGACCCCTGCCAAATGAAGCTCAGATAAAGCAATAAAGATCAGATGTCATATATCCTACAGAGACAAATATTGGTCTACTAGAGAAGGTGAAATCGTACTAGAAATCTTTCCGTTTGTTTCAGATGAGAAGAAAACATTGTCAGAGTTGTTTGGGAATTCAGTACAGAAGCCATGCTGGCAAAGTATAAAAGTGCTGCACTTAGAACAGCCACAAAACACAGCAC